GAGACCACCAGATAGAAGAAAAAAAATACGGCCACAAGCTGAGCGACCTCGTCAAGGTTCAACACGAGATTTCCAAGATATTTGCTGGCCTCGTCATCTTATTCTGGTGGAGTTGAGTTGAGTCGGGCGCTTGATCAAACAAGGTCGTCAATGCAGCGATGATTTTATAGCGACCGTGAAGATGACCTTGTGGGACGATGACGACTACTATTCAGTAAATAAATGAGAGAGATTGAGAAAGCAACAGAAAAAGAAGAAAAAGAAGATATCGCGGTTTCATATAGATAAATGTGAGAGATAATAGTCATGGCCAACAAAGGCGTCTAAAATAGGTCTTCAACTGATGGATGGTAAGCCACTCTCATTCTCATTCTCACTCTCACTCTCATTCTCACTCTCACTCTCACCGTAGCCTTGGCCCAAAACCACAACTGAATACTGAGCTTAAGCGAAGAAGCGGCACTGGCTACGACGGTAGGCCTCAGGCGACTGGCCAGTCCACGCAGTTCTGAGACAGCAATACCCGTTCTTTACTACTGTCTGCTAAATTTACGGCGAACCAGCCCCTGTCACACATCCCTGTACCGATCATTTCTAGAGCACAAGCCACAGCCAATTGGTCCCTGGCCGCTAAAAAAGGTACAGCCGCGCTTGCAACCGTCGCCAGTTAATTTCCTTAGACGCCCGCGTTGTGTGGGCGCCAACCGAGCCACGACATCCAACCGATTGGTTTCGCATCCAGACGTTTCATACTATTTTTCTCTCTCTCTTGTTCTATCTTGATAATCCCGGCAACAGATTAGTCTACTGCAGGCATTATTTTGAAGACTCTAGACCAGCTATATCCCTGTTTTCGCTCTGAATTGAACTGTCCCGTCTCTGTGGATAGCCAACCACCGCTGGGCTGTGAGTCTCGACCCAGACGCGTTGCCTGAGCTATTGACATGATGCTCTTTGACCATTCAGGCGGCTATCTGGATCCCAGTTTCGAAACGTTTCTCTGTCGTGGGAAACATCTATTCTCAGCCTGGGATCCTTACCCTTGCACTGGGCTACAGAGCTCATATTCTGTTGAGTGGTTCTTGGGACAGAGTCTGTGCCCCCTTGAGCGCTTCCCCAGACGACGCTGCGACGAACATGATCTTGGTGCTCTTGTTTCTATGCCCACATTCCCAGTCTAAACGCGCCATGGTGGCTGTATTATGCCCATGTATGAGCTGCCGCGATCAGATATGCGCGATACGATGAGATGAACTAGCTGATGCTACGCCAAGCTTTGCACCATCTCAACAATGACATGCTCTTAGCCGCGCCTCGTCTTTCTCCCCTGCCCTGTCCTGCCATGATCGTGCCTTGCATGCCTGCATCTCTCTCATCTTCCCGTCTGTGTTTCGACTCCGTCTGTACGAGGCCAGTTTCCTGGACCGCAATATGATGCCTAACGATAGGTCCTGGGGCCACCAGGGGGATATACAATGCCTCACATCCCCCGTCCCAGATCTCATGTTTCTCTCCAGACTAAAAGAACAGAGTGTTTCGTCCTTCGGGTGCCTGCTTGTCATCTCTGCTTGATTGCCGTGCATTACTTGTGTCTGTCTACCTCACTTGAGTTCTACGAAACACCCCCCACTTGCTTGTGTTCTTGATTGTCCCTATCTCGTGCAATCTCTACATCACCACTCGTCCTCCCATCCGATCCAAGCTATACCATCCGTTCGCTGTCGTGATCTCTTGGCTGTAAGAGCCTCTGACGTTAAGCTCCTGCGCTCTCGGATCACAATTGACACGCATCACCCGTTTTGTCGTTCGTGATTCACGAACACCAAAGATGCTGAACTAGAGCAAGCGGTATACAACCTCTCTCTCTTTTTTTCCTTTGTCACCTCTCTCTCTCTCTCTTCTTCTTCTTCTTCTTCTTCTCTTTTCTCTTTTTCATTGAACAAATTTCTTTCCTTGTGTTCCCCTCTTTCACTTGAGGTTCAGCAGGACTGACCAAATCATCAACACTTTACCTGCGCCGGCGCTCGCTCAGTCTCCCAACAACATACCTTACACTGCAACCCAAGTCAAACACACCACAATCACCATCGACTGCAGAGGTTCAAGGCTCTTTCATTGAAAGCTTGAAGTGTTCGCTATTGGTCAGTGTTCAGTCACCGCTCGTTGCCTATCAACCAAGGCCACTCACACTCTGCCAGTGTTCGCCAGCTGTCAACCATTTGACATCACAAAGCCCTATTCACTGTTCGCTCGCACACAACAATTGTTCCCTTTTCATCAACAATAACATCATCATCTGCGGATTTCCATAGTGACGGGCTTTGCCTCTCTTCCGCTCCTTGGTGCATAAAACGCGACGCATTCATTCTCCTCCCCGGAGTTCACTCTTCGTCAACTTTCCTTTCGAAATATCATTGCAATTTTATTTCAACACAAGAAAAAGAAAAACGACCAACTCGCATTTTGCGATATCAAAATACCACTAAAAAAACCTTACGAAACATCAGTATTCAGCATGAAATTCTTCCAGGCCTCTGGTCTCGCCCTTGCGAGTACAACGCTCATTTCTCCAGCCCTGGCGCACTCTTGGGTTGAGTATGCCTACAAGCTCGCTCGAAATGGCACAATGTTTGGGAACATAGGATATCCTCGTGGATATGTGCCTCGCGACTCTACGAATCCTCCATTCACCGATACAATTCCCCAGAACATTCTCCCCCAGTCAGGCCAGTCCGCTTATTCTGGCGAAGAAATTCTCAACAAGTTCCCTCTTGAGAAGAAGCCTCAATATCCCATGCTCGAGGCTGCCCCTGGCGATTACATTGCTATTATGCATCTTGAGAATGGCCACACAACCCTTCCTCAAAACCAGCCCAACAAGCCCAGAAACCGCGGCACTATCTATTTCTATGGCACAACTCAGCCCAAGGAGCAGGAGAAGCTCTTCGACGTTCATCTCCTCTGGAACAAGCAAGGTACAGGCGGTGACAAGCGCGGCAAGCTTCTCGCCACGCGCAACTACGATGATGGCCAGTGTTATCAGCCAAACCCTGGTGAACTCAGCACTGAGCGCTCTAGCGAACTCGCTCCTCAAGGCGCTCTCTCCACCAAGGAGCTGGCCTGCCAGTCAGACATCAAGCTGCCCGACAACCTCAAGACTGGTGACATCTACACCATCTACTGGTACTGGGACTGGCCCGACCTGAACAAGGACAAGATTGACATGGAGGCCACCAAGAATGGCAAGTTCCCCTGGGCTGGTACATTTATGCGCGGTGACAAGGATCCCAATGGCTTCACCATGGATGCCATCGCCCGCAACGAGAGTTACTCGAGTGTTATCGACATCAAGATTACTGGACCTGACGCCGAACCATTCGCTGCCAAGAACCTACAAACTCTTGAATGGGTCGATAATCAGAACATTTACTCTGCTGGCATCGAGGATCAGATGAAGTCCAACTTCCAGGTCGACGTTGATGGCAGCAAAGGCGACGACACTGTTCCTTCATCAACTGCTGTCAAGCCTACCTCTACTGCACCCGTAGACGGAGGCGCTGGCAATGGTGGTGGCGTGGCTACTGTTACTGTCACAGCGACTGTGAAGCCTTCTCCCATTATCAGCACTGTCTATGTTACCATGCCCTCTGAGTCTCTTGCTACGCCCGAGCCTGAGCCTACAGAGGCAGGACCCAGCACCAAGACAATCACAACAACAGCCTTTGTCACCCGAAGCAAGACTTCTCATCCCTCCGATGCTGTGCCTACACCACCAACTGCCTCGACTGTTTACGAGACTCTCTACACCACCCGACCCAAGGAACAACCTACTGGTGGTGACCAGCAGCAACAACCCCAGCCCTCCACAGTCATCAAGACCATCGTTACACACATTAATACACCAACCTCCTCGGGAGAAGCTAACGCTCCTCAACACACAATGCCCGGCGGCGAGTTCCGCGAGGATACTTCCTCCACCATCAGCGGCGCTCCCTCTCAGACACAGAGCGATGGTCCTCCCATTCCCACGCCATTCCTCCGCCGCCGCCAAAACTGGGTGTTTGGTAACTTCTAGGTTACTCAACAACCCCACTCCTTGACATATATTATTATACTGTCAAGGTTCACCATCCTTCCTTCGTCTCTCGAGTATATATAGACGGCTTCGTGTTCCTCATCTTCGAGAGATGCAGGTATAGGGTTTACACCACAGCGAAAAGGGGCGCCGGTCGCATTTCACGGCGTTGGATATATAGATACCAATCTGATTTTATGCGCCTCTCACCTCCCCCCTTTTCTCTCAGTGTCTATGGGCGCTGGAGAAAGGGGAGAGAGAAGAGTTAGGCCAATTTCTTTCGGCATGTACACATGATTTAATGCAGCGTTATGATTTTGCTTTTGGTTGGGTGCTTTGCCGGTGGGCGATGGGATACGCGGGAATCTAAGGAACCAGAGTTTAAGATAAAAATTCCAAAATAGTTCGCATCGATTTCTGTGTTTAGTGAAGTGAACGTGCTTGTTGTTCTGGTGAATGTGTCAAAGTGGACTGTAATATGATCATCTCGGCAGTCCCTCTGACACGGTGCGGTGAGAGCGAACCTGGGAGCCTTTGAGGCTGGTTCGCCAGCTTATCGTTCAACTTGGTCGTGTAAGTAATCGGTTCATGGCAAATAGTTCGGCATTATATCCATGAATTCTTACACTCTCTATGCCTGAGGACTCTCTATGCCCAACTTCTGGTCATTATCAGGAAGATGGTATCAGATGCCGAGCCATATTCGCGATACAAGCTGCATGTAATTTACCTCGAGAGACACGAGTGTAACAAAGTAAGACAAGAAAAGCGCCGAGCCAGGGGCGCATCGAGATGTGTATTTGGGATGGTATCTCTACTGATCCAGATCTCGGCCTCCGCAGCACCAGATCGTGTTTTACCGCCCCGTATCTCCTTGTGGTTTCCAACAAGAGACACTCTACAAAACCAGCAAAACCATGAACGATTACATTTCACCACACTGGGAGATGACTACGTCAAGGTTCGGTCTATCAGGGGCAGCATAGCCAGTTTTGGTAGCCTCCATCTTCTTTACCACATCCATGCCGTCGACGACCTTGCCAAAGACGACATGCTTGTTATCGAGGAAAGGTGTAGGAACAGTTGTGATGAAGAATTGAGAACCATTGGTATTGGGTCCAGCGTTCTATCAATCTGTCAGTGACAATCTCATGGAAGCAGGGGGTATACCACGCACAGCCATGGATAAGAGGCCTGGCTGATCATGCTTGAGAGTGAAGTTCTCGTCTTCAAAGCTCTTGTAGCCCCAGATGCAGGTCGATCCTGAACCATCGTTATTGAGAAAGTCACCACCTTGGCACATGAAGTTTGGGATCTGTTCCTCAAGTTAGGATTGTACCTGTCATGGGGATACGAAACTCACTATGCGGTGGAACTTGGAGCCCTTGTAGCCCTGAGGACGGCCGGCACTGTTCTTGCTCTCGCCGGTGCAGAACTGGCGGAAGTTCTCAGCTGTCTTTGGTACGACATCCTTAAACAGCTCGATCTGGATGCGGCCAAGAGGCTCACCTGATATTGTTAGTTTGAATTGAGAACATTGATTGAGTGCCCGGAGTCAACAATGATATCGACAGGGTCATCACGGCCTGTTCCGCAGATCACTGGGAATAGCCTCACTTTCGGCAGCGATATGCTCCGTCTTCGGAGAACACACGGGAAGACTAACCTCCGAGAGTAATGTCAAGAAAGACACTATAAACAACCAGGCAAAGGTCAGCCCACACACACCCTCTTCTATTGGGGAGCTGACTCAAAACTGCGCTGCGAGGTGCATCGTCTCTCCACCTCGAATCACCAGGGTAGAAGTATAATGCACCGCCACTCTATTCTGAGAGGTTTGGAAGGACTTACAGAGGATTTCCAGACTCGGGGAGCTTTGTAGGAGGCATTTTGAGCGATTGTGTGATTAGCCCAAGTTGTTTGTACGTTTTTGTCAAGATGTTTTAGACGGTGTGAAATGCAGCGTTCATCGGGCGGCCTGTTTCTTGCTGTGTTTTAGTGTGGGGCTGTCCAAGGCCCCGATTAGGCAGGCAGTGTGGAGGAAGATTGAGGATCTATGATTGGTTGATCAACTCGAGAAGGAACGATACGGTGCTCAACCAGGCTCTTTCAGTTTCTATCATTGCTCTAATGCTTCCAGGTTATGTTTTAGGCAAATCCGTTTCACGACTGCAACAGTCAATATTGAGACAGCGCAAAGCATTGAGAATAAACATTTTGAAGAGTATCGTACGTCTTTGGCTTCGGATCCAGATCTAACACCACATCTCCGCTACAGTACCCCATGATGCATCTCGACCAGGCCATCAACTAATCAAAGCGGGGGTGGCATCCGGGGTTTAGGTCTATGAAGCCATTCGACGCCTTCTGGGCACGCCAGAGCCAAGCCAAAGCCAAGTGAAAGAGTTACGACAGCTGAGGGGTAGTGAAATGGATTCATCAATGTAGATACTTCAAATTGAATGACTTTGTCTGATATTTGATGTGTTCATCTGGTTCATAGACCCCAGGTTCCAGCATCACAACCCGGACTTATCTCAAACTAAGCATCACCCATGATCTAAGAAAGCCAGTAACGGCCTTGCCGTTACCCTAAGATCTATGGCTGAAGTCTACCTGGGCTCACCACTGATTCGTCAAAGCACATGCAATTTAGTGTGCATCTCGTCAAAAGCCTCCGAACAAGCCAAATCGATGGAAACGTTCTGATCGTCAAAACGTCTGACTAAGGACATCGATGCTCATGCAGCAAGAGTCAGGGTCCATCCATCCGTGATTTGACACAAGTGGAAAGGACTGGAGAGACACTGACAGGGAGGTTTTGAGCATATCAGTATGATTTGACAAGCATGTCACTGATGGCGATTGCTATGCTGTCCATGTTAAGATGGAGAGCCAAGACACCATAGCCTCAAGGTGTAGACATCATAGACTCTGGTATTTGTAATTCACCTTAACAGAATCCAACGCACTTACATGGGATATATCTGCACAGCCTGGCGTTGACGACGACATCCCCCCCATCTCGGTAGTTGATTCTTCTCTGATGCTGGAGAGTTCCGGGTTTTAGCAAGTAACGTTAACCAGCGAAGATCTTACGTGGATTGGATCTTTGGCTTTTGCTTTGGTGTCTGACAAGACATTCACAACTGTCTCGAGGCCTATTCTTTGACGTTTCAGTGACTGCGTCATAGCCCCATAAAGAATCAAGCACCAACTACCGGGATGCGCGGAACACACACGAAGCAATGACCTGATAAACCATGACGAGACATGAGGCACGAGGACACAAGAAACTTCTTCTTCAACGATTGAAAATTGAGGTAAAAAAAAAACTAACGAACCCGTTGCAGCCGAGCCTCCCGCTGATTCCGGTTGTTTGAGGCTCAAACCCCGCTGACCTTCTTCCTGTCAGAGCGTTAATGCATCACAGCGAGGCATTTAGGATCCAATCGCCACAAGCCAAGACGATAGCCAGTAAGCCAAGACCCGCCAGAGAGGACGGGGTGCAGCACATTATCCCTGTAAGCCCATCCCAAAAGCACAACCCACACAAGTCAAATCGACGCTAGGGAGCCGTGTGAGAGCTTAACGTGATGCACTGTAGTGTACATGTCGACTCTCTCTCTTGGTGTTGTGCATCTTGGAAGTGTTTCAGCATCGCTGGAGGTTGCTTCAATAAGTCTTGTCGTATTATCAAACCGCCTTGTTTTGATATCCTCTTGTTTGTTTAAAGATTGTCGTATCCCCACTCTTGAGACAGCTGTCACCCGAGGCCTGAGGTGCATTGGAGGCCTGTGATGGGTTGACGATTGCATGAGAGCCATCCGATCGAAGGTTGTGTCGTACAATGGCACTTCCCTACTGCAGGAACATCGTCATTCGAATTGAGCTGTTGTTTTTCATGATAGTAAGCTACCTGCGAATTGACATTACCGGATTCACCGTGAAACCTGGGCTTATGCATAGAGCCACCGCGTATTTCACCATCAATACGCAGGCACACGAACTCTATGTGCACTTTCAGCCACACTAAGGCCAACCAAAGATATTGAATGCGTCCCCTACGCCTACTAATCGTATGTGAACGGCTGAGCTGTGCCGCTTGTCTAGACCACCTAGGCCGAGGCCACAGCTGACAGTCTCATCATCATCACCGGTCAACAACCTTGCCCCCCCTTTTTGGTCTTATTTTACCTCGAAACCTTTCAATGTGCGATTTTGTTTAAACATTTTCGCATTAATTACTATCCTTCTTTTTGCCGATGACGATCCTAGTGGAGCGGTTCAGAAACAAGGAGCTCCGTGATGCGGGCCGGGCTTGAGACGAATTAAGTCGGCAACAAGTGGAGCCGTTTCGGTGGGAAGCGCTGTGATGCTTGTCATTATCCGGCCAAAGTTTTGGGCCTCCAAAGCAAGCAAAAGAAAGGATAAATAAATAAACAAAGCCTTCTGAGTAGGCGGCCAAAGCCAGTCCCCAATACACCTTGATTGCCAGTTAGAACTTCAACGGCGTAAACCGGTGACTCGGAAATTTGCGAACGGCATGTTACTGTGGCGGAAGCTTAATAGTTGGTAAACTAACTGCTGAGATTAGTATCGACAGTGAACCACAGGTAGTGAGATAACTGCATCTGGAGTTAATTTAGACTTGAGTAGAGCTGACAGGTTGCTTAAAGTGAAACCGTAACGTGAGTCGGATCTGTCAAATGTAACCAGGCTTCCAGACTCTTGGTAATGGTTAATCTTGTTCATCCCGTCTCAGAAACTTGCCCTGTCTCATAGGACAAGGAAAATCCGATAATCAAAATTCCTCAAAATGAACAAAGCCCAAGAGCTCAGAGGAACCCCTGGTCAGAGTCCCCGTGCGCTTGAATGACGCCTTCAGACTTCATCGTCCCCCGCGGGCTGCGCCACGGATCACCTACGGATTTGAGCGACAGAGTGAAGCAAGCGTACTGCGTTAAATACGCCCGCGAATACGGAACAAAACTGCTCGTTGTATTGTAAATGCAACAAGGCGAGGTTTATTAACGGATGCCTCCGTTGACCTCTGGACCCTTATAGATCTATCAATCATGACATTTTCGGACATACAGTTCCTCTTAAATGCCGGTGTTCAATGACTTTTGAGCTCACGCCATTTACTCATTATCTCATGGTTATCCAACACCTACCTACCTCATTCATCTCTTCAATTTGTCGCACGTCTTGATTTAGGCCAAGTCAATGCTCATTTAACTTACATCCGTTGAGGATCTTCCAACTCAGACAATTACACGCGATATCTATCCAACGTCTCGTAATCCTCGAAACGGGCAATCTTTCCGACCAACCACCTCCCCCCATCACCCCCCAAACCGCCAACCTCGCACTCAAAACTCAGCACACCAACTCACTCAATCGTCGTTCCAGCCACAGACAAATCACCCCGTCAGTTCCACCCGTTGAATCCCCCTGTCAAGGCCCTCTACTCCAATTGGAACCGGCAGCGACCTCCCTCTTTCAGCAGGTCCAGTTCTCTCCACCTTCGCTAGCTCCAGCGCAGAGCAGTAGCCAGGGCCTCTCCAGGATTTCTCCAGCCCGCGCCGTGTCTTTTTTGCCTCTAACCCTCAAAGTGGTCTAAGTTTTGCAACTAAAGAGGTACCGGCTCACAGTGCCCCTCACGGCTTGAGCCCCACCCGCTTCATAGACACAGCCAATCATCATCTGTCGCTGCCCCCCGGCCCGGTTTCGCTCGCCCCGTCCCCCATTCCTCTGGGCTCTTTCCTTCTCTTTTTATCCTTTACGCGGCCACTTTCGCACTTGCCGTTGGATCTGTCTCTTCTCTTGCTTTGCCTTGCCTGTTCTGCCACTCCACCTTCGCCCTCCCGGCTATTCTCACCTCACCAACTACTCGCTTCAAGTCGAGTATCTTCTCCTTCTTCCGTGAAGAAGGGAGCTTCATACCACAGACATCGCATTTTCTGCATTCAGAAGGCGATTGCTGAGGCTCGGCAGTTATTAACTTTAATTGCCTTTGCGTGCATTATTTGCCGCCTGCATCTGCCAGCGTTTGCCCTTGAACGGTCCATGGTACCCGCACGGAAGCCCGCGAGTTAATTCGAGCCAGCCTCACATTGCTCAGCATTTATTCTGGCATTTGCCCGGAAGCAAACATGGTTGCTGTTCATCAAATTCTGACCGAGGTCACTCATGTCGTCATTCGCGCTGCCGCCGCGGAAGATCCCTCGTCGACGACCTCTCACGCAGCTGCCGAGACGACAGACAGCGGAAATGAGAAGAAAGACAACGGAGGCGGGTCGAACTCACCTCTTCTTTTCTTTGTCGCTCTAGGCTTCGGTGTTGTCTTCACAAACTTATGGTGAGACTTGGCTTACGCACCCGCATCTGGCCTCGTCCAATGGCGATGGCTGGACCGTATCTTGAAAAGGCTCTAACAGACTATCCCAGGATCATCGTTGGTGTTAAGTACTGTTTCCGTTATAACGCTCGAAATCGACAAATGCGAATGAATGAAGATGGCGAACCTATCACTCTTGAAAACATGCCTCGACCTCATCGAAGACGCCGCGAGAAGAAGTTGATGACTATGGACGAAGTCAACGACAAGTTCCCGATGATGAAGTACAAAACATGGGTTTCCGATCGCGCAAAGGAGGGTCTTCCCACAACTGGTGGCGTTTCTGCACCTCCTACTCGACCTAACAGTATTCGAGAGGCGGATGGAATTGTGCCAGACTTTTCAGCAAAGGTACGCGATTCGACCGACGAGCAACCGGCGACCACTGCACCAAAGACGAATGGACTGGGAGAGACAACGGGAGCAAGCAACGCCCCCGAAATATCGGCACCCGAAATTACCGCCACAGCTGTTGTGCCCGAGACT